GACAAGACAGAATGGACCGTAAAGGATGGTGGTGGCGGATCAGGTGAGACATCCGTCTGCTTGGGAAAATCGGATTATTCCCCAGATATTGAAATTGGGACATTATCAAGGGCCATCCACTTTGAACATGTGCCATTGGGAGGAGAGTACTGAAACACTATCTGAAGAAGAAAATGAAGAAACGCCAGAAGAATGAGTGCCGGGAGGGAGGGGGGTGGTCAACCATGCCCATAATTGATTCAGGGTTTCCCCCAAAAAAATATTTTGGGGTTTCACGTTGATTGTGGGGGTCTGCACACTGGGAAATTAATAGTAATTTAGACTAATGCATTGAGATACCGATCTGTCATTACCATTCCACTCGCGACAGAGTAAGAAGAGAATAGTTAATGCTGGAAATATAAGATGAATATACTGTATGTCAACGTTAGTGGTACATACTGTGTATATATTTCCCCCTGTCTGTAAATGTACATTCTGCCAGTGTCGGTGTGTGCTAAGTTTAGGGCCTTAAATTCGAGTGATAGACTCAACGTGATGCACTAGGGACTGTCATTCTAAAATTGGGTTGGATAATTTATCAATAGTTGTAATTATGATTCGGAAAAGGTGAGAAGGAGAGACAGAGAGCTTCCCCTAAACTGTGAGGAGAACACAAAGTGAGGGGAGGGTGCACTGCTCATCCTGCAGGTGGTTTCTGAAACTAATTAAATATTTGTAAGAATCCATTGAGTCTAGGGAGGGTTTCCTCCCAGGAAACCTTATCTTTTCGTGTCCTCTGAGAGGGAGGTTATCAGAAAACCCACTAGCTTGTAGCTTGGGCTAGCCATAATTGGGACATTGATAGTAGGGGCTTTGTTTTACCATGCCATCAGAATCCTATTGTTAAAGCGCTTTCTGGACAATACAGTCCAATTAATTACTTACAAGGCTCGTAGTCTACGTCTTGCTTTGACAGCCGAGGATGAGAAGGAAGGAAAGGGTGTGAGTCAGCTGTCTCTGATGATCTGAAGCCGATGGGGGAAGACTGGGTAAAAGTCAGAGGGATATCCAACAGGGAACTAATTTTCATGGAGCCCAGTGAAGATCTAGCATCCCATTGGCATAGAACAGATCGGATGGACAGTCCTTGCCCCAATCTCATTCTCATCAAGGGTGGTGTGAAATTATTAAACGTGTATTCTCTCTCTTCCCTGTTCAAGTCAATATGTATTCTAGGTGGCGTGGAACATGTGAGTGATCACTATCCAGATGAGGGAATACAAGTCACACACACACACACACACACACACATTTCCACGCCCATGACAATACCAGTAAGAGGAGCCTACTGTGTTTCTGCCTAACAACAGAGTAGTGTCTATCTTAGACATTTAAGGAAGTGACTCCGCCTAGTTGGAAGGTATAAAGATGTGCTTGTGTGACTTGTATGTTGTCTTTGCAGCTGTATGACTCAGTGGTTGAATAAACTTGGTATGAGCTTTTAATAGTCGTCCGTGTGTTTTTACTATGTTTGTTCAAAACCCAACAGAACGCTTTGCAAGGACTTGAAAGAGTGTGACAGTGCGCGCGCGTGTGTGTGTGTGCGTGCGTGTGTGTGGTGTTGTGTGTGACAGCTGTATTTCATACTGGGGGCTTGGCGGGTAGCGACCAATGTTTTCCCCTAGGGTTCTGACACGAGGCTAGCAGCTTTAATCCTAGCCTGATTGTGTTTGCACAGGGAAGCATGCCTGGTGCAACAGCCAGGATACAGCAGAACCAACCACATACAAGGCAAGCAAACATTAAACCATGGCGCACACACACACACTTGGACAAACAAATGCACAACACAAACACACAGACAAACATTCACATTTTTGTGTGTAGCACACGCACACAAAAAACTTTAGTTCAATAGAAAATGTGACCCGCCTGAAAACAAACCTAGGGGAAACCCTAATTGAGTATGATCCTTCTCCACTTCAATTTAGCTGTCATCTGGGGTAGTAATTCTCTACCTCATAGTGTCAACCTAAAAGAGCCTAAAGAGCTTTGGGGAAACACTTTAAATGGTAATGTCCTCTTTATGGAAATGATGCCCTCAGTCTTTAATCTCATATATCTATCTGTCTACAAACCCCCTGTGTGGTGTATCTCTCATCCATACATATGACTTAGCCCCACACACTCCCTACTACCCCAGACAGCACACAACCTCTACATGCACATCCTAATATCATATTATTTTGCCACTAGGGATTAGGGCTAGGCCATGTTCGAATGAAATCGGTCTGCACACATAATACATTAGTCTCGTGGAAGCAGACAAGTGGTGTCTGCCGCGTGAGATGAAAAACACATTAACACATACCATACTGTACACAAGCATCCAAATCCCAAGTCTGTTTGCAGTGTTGATCCCCCTCCTATTATTTTGACTTTCCCTCACTCCCCTGCCAAGCTCTGTTACTGCCCACGTAAATATTATTGGCCGACAGTCTCAATTGAACGTTTTGGTGCTTGCAGTCCTGAATGCTGCATCAGGGACCTCTGCATCTTGCCATGGAATACTCTAGGGCAATCACTGATCAGACAAACTTTGTAGAAAGATATTTGTCGTAGTGGTAGAAAACCTTCCCTTCCGCCCTTCCTCCAACCCCCTTCCGCCCTTCCTCCTACCCCCTACCGCCCTCCCTTAGTAATCATGGAATAGCATACACAAACACACACACATTACTGCAGTGATGAGGATCTCTCGCCCACCGGAGGTTTAAAACACGCAGAACTGCAGATACTAAAACCTCCCCTAGGCACAGCACTATGAAAACAAAGTGTCCAGAGAGAGAGAGACACAGAGAGAGAGAGAGAGAGAGAGAGAGAGAGAGAGAGAGAGAGAGAGATCGAGAGAGGAGAGAGAGAGAGAGGAGAGAGAGAGAGAGAGAGGAGAGAGAGAGAGAGAGAGAAAGGGAGGGAGGGAAGAGGGAGAAAAAGAGAGAGAGAGAGAGATTGAGGGAGCAAGAAAGTGAGAGATAGGGGAAGAGAGAGAGCGAGACAGATGGAGGGAGGGAGGGAGGGAGAGAGTGAGAGATAGAATGAGAGAGAGTGAGAGAGAGATAGAGTGAGTGAGTGAGTGAGTGAGTGAGTGAGTGAGTATCTAGATAGATAGATAGATAGATAGATAGATAGATAGATAGATAGATAGATAGATAGATAGATAGATAGATAGATAGATAGATAGATAGATAGATAGATAGATAGATAGATAGATAGATAGATAGATAGATAGATAGATAGATAGATAGATAGATAGATAGATAGATAGATAGATAGATAGATAGATAGATAGATAGATAGATGGTATACTGTAACTTGGTAGAGCTAGCTAGGTGGAGACAGAGGGAGATGGTATACTGTAGCTTGGTAAAGATAGCTAGGTGGAGACAGAGAGAGATGGTATACTGTAGCTTGGTAGAGATAGCTAGGTGGAGACAGAGAGAGATGGTATACTGTAGCTTGGTAGAGATAGCTAGGTGGAGACAGAGAGAGATGTATACTGTAGCTTGGTAGAGATAGCTAGGTGGAGACAGAGAGAGATGGTATACTGTAGCTTGGTAGAGATAGCTAGGTGGAGACAGAGAGAGAGAGAGATGGTATACTGTAGCTTGGTAGAGCTAGCTAGGTGGAGACAGAGGGAGATGGTATACTGTAGCTTGGTAAAGCTAGCTAGGTGGAGACAGTGATTTTATTAGTCCTCATTTGGACTAATCTTCCAAGAGTCCTTAAACATTAAAATACAATGTATAATACAATCACATTGTCACATATAACACACTGTTACAAACAACAGACATTATACACTGACACATTGACCAGATAAATACTCGGAGAGAGAAGGCGAGCGATGGAGCGAAGGAGAGAGAGGTGTGAGTGTCTAAATGAGATATCTTCTCTGCCTGACCCCAGTTACCACAGCCTGCTACATAAGCTGGCCTCCATTAGCAGTCAGGCTAAGGAGTAGCTCACTTCCTACTGTGGCCAACCACAACGCTTCTGTAGGGTACATCCCGTAGGGAGACAGCGAGTCAGAACTGCAATCTTTACAAGGTGCTACTGTACATGATCTTATAAAGCTTTATGTAGCTTCATAAGAGAGCTGGGAGTGTAACCCATACCCCACCCACTGTCGATGGGGAGAGAGAGTCAGGACTGGCCAAGCAATACAAGGTGTTATATGATCTTATAAAGCCTTGGAGAATGAATAGCTTGAATAGCTTGGAGAATGAATAGGAGTTATGCTATGGATGTGATTTTTACTTGTTATTGTTATTCAATATTCACTGTGTGTTTATTCCTCGTGTCACTATTTCTATTATTCTTTTTTACTCTGCATTGTTGGAAAAGTATCCGTCAGCAAGCATTTCACTGTTAGTCTCCACATGTTGTTTGACAAATAAAATTGTATTTGATTTGATGTGAATTTGATTTGTGTATGTATGGGCTTACTGTATGTTGGTGGAGGGCAGAGGGAAACCCTTTCTGTAGCCTCAGTCTCTCCTCTGAAATACATACTAGTCTATGGTGCAGTCATAGGAGACAGATTGTAAGGTATAGAAATGTCTGTCTACACCTCTGGGAAAGGGTTAGGGTTAGCAGTTACCTGTACATCTACACCTCTGGGAAATACTTCATGCCATGGCAACAGAAGGGTCTTAAGAGGCCATAGTTCAAATTCAGAATGTACACACACACACACACACACACACAAACGTCCTAAAGGGCTACACAGTTTTTGTAGTCCCACAGACACAAAGTGGGGGATTGGGTGTGTTTGTGTGATGACAGGCCTAACAGATGGACAGACTATATCCCAGGCTACCAGCCTTCTGCTGAACACCAAGCCTGACAAAAATCTACCCCTCCCTCCCTCCCTCCCTCCCTCCCTCCCTCCCTCCCTCCCTCCCTCCCTCCCTCCCTCCCTCCCTCCCTCCCTCCCTCTTCTCTTCTTCTATACATCCTCTCTACTCTCCATCCCCACTCCAGCTGTGCCACCCCTCCTCCCCCTCATCCACCACTCCATCTTTCCCCATACCCCCCCCGTCTCTCTCCTCCCCACATCCTGCTGTGTATGCCTCCCTCAATCCCTCCATCCCTCCATCCCTCTCTTCCTCCTCTTCCATCCTGCAGAACTGGGTCCCAGTCCAAGCGCAGTCCTAATCCTCTGTTTTCCTATGTGAAAAGGAGTGGTTATGCCATCCCTCCATCTCTCTCTCTCTCTCTCCCTCTGTCCGTCCCTCTCTCCTGTGTTGGGCCGAGGCCCAGTCCACAGCTCCTAGGCGTACAGCCAAACCCAGCCAACAGCTAGCCTAGCGCTTAGCACTATAGAGAGTACATTAGATTAGCTTAGCACTGAGGGGACCGGCTACATTAGACTCACACCATCTCCATCTGAGAAGCGAACGAATGAAGTGATTATGAGAAAGAAGATGTAGTCTAAATCGCACGCACACCAGCTAACTGGCCCTCAACACAGCTAAACAACACTAGCTCATGCTAACTCTCAGACTTAAAAAGAACAGCTGCTTCTTTCCTGTTATAGAAGGGTGTGTAAGCACAGTGTTTGTTACGGGAGAGACTGTGGGCAGCTGTGTGTGTGTGTGTGTGTGTGTGTGTGTGTGTGTGTGTGTGCAAGATGTGTGTGCTTAAAATGGACAGTATTAATGAAGATGATCATGAAGAAGAAGAGGAACTCAGTCACACATACACACACACTCACACATGCATGCACACAGATACACACTCACCCCGTATGATGGCCAGCTTGGCAGTGGTGGCCACATCTCCCTCACTGTTGCGGGCTACACACTCATAGACGTTCTCATCTCGGGGGGCCCTGAGAGGCTGGATCCTCAGCACGGCCCCCGCTCCATCATCAAACTCTATCGTCTAGGGGAGAGGAACAGATAGGGAACAGTCAGGAAACAGCCAGTAGAGAAACAGTCAGGAAACAGCCAGTGGAGAACCAGTCAGGAAATAGCCAGTAGAGAACCAGTCAGGAAACAGCCAGTATAGAACCAGTCAGGAAACAGCCAGTGGAGAACCAGTCAGGAAACAGCCAGTAGAGAACCAGTCAGGAAACAGCCAGAAGAGAAACAGTCAGGAAACAGCCAGTGGAGAAACAGTCAGGAAACAGCCAGTAGAGAACCAGTCAGGAAACAGCCAGTAGAGAAACAGTCAGGAAACAGCCAGTGGAGAAACAGTCAGGAACAGCCAGTAGAGAACAGCAGTAGAGAACCAGTCAGGAAACAGCCAGTAGAGAAACAGTCAGGAAACAGCCAGTAGAGAAACAGTCAGGAAACAGCCAGTGGAGAAACAGTCAGGAAACAGCCAGTAGAGAAACAGTCAGGAAACAGCCAGTAGAGAAACAGTTGGGAATGAGGAGGAAAATAAGAGGAGAGAGAAACTTGTAAAAATAACCAGGAAGCACCAGAAACCAGGTGATTAACCAGGCAGGACCAGGAAGGACCAAAAAGGAGAATTGGGAACCAAAGGAAATAGCTAGTATTCTGGGGGAGAACCTGGAGAGAAGAGCTGGTCCAGTCAATATGGATTGACAAGTGGTAACTCACACCTCCATGTGTTGGGAGTATAGAGTTAACTCCCCTCTATGCGTTGGGAGTATAGTGTTAACTCACCTCTATGTGCTGGGAGTATAGAGTTAACTCACCTCTGTGTGTTGGGAATATAGTGTTAACTCCCCTCTATGCGTTGGGAGTATAGCGTTAACTCACCTCTATGTGCTGGGAGTATAGAGTTAACTCACCTCTGTGTGTTGGGAATATAGTGTTAACTCCCCTCTATGCGTTGGGAGTATAGCGTTAACTCACCTCTATGCGTTGGGAGTTGACCTTCTTGCCCTTCTTGTTCCAGTTGACCATGGGCTTGGGGTCACCTGACGCTTGGCACACGAACGAGGCCACGCCCCCCGATACCCCAATCTGGTCCCCGGGGATCTTGGTAAACTTGGGTGCCGCTGAGATAGACAGACAATTCAATTCAATTAAAACTTTATTGTCGTCGTAGGAAAATTCTGCAGCCAGGATTCCAATACATAATACTGCTCAGACAACAAATATACAATGGATCTGTAGATTGATAGATTGATTGATTGATTGATTGGGGGAAAAATAAATAAATACATTATTATACATTATTATAAAATAATTGTACTTAATACTTTCCCCATGCACTATACATAAATAATTACGGGCGTCCCCAAAGACAGACAGACAGCTCTCACTGAAGAGATGCCAACTAGTCCAAAGCCGTGGACAGGAAGAGATTGACATGACTGTTGCTGAGTGACATGACATCACTGCGTCGTGATGAACGTGGTGATTGGCCACCAAGTACAGTCCAATTCCTGGCTACCATTTAGAGGACATTACCAAGGACTTCCTGTGTGTCATCAATAAAAGATGTGCTTCACAGGAGCAGGTTTTTTCACTACCCGGGGCGTGCTACTCCACTATGCAGCACAGATTGTTAGAACACATGGGTGGGTGCTATGCGGGGGAATGAAAAGGGGTTGTGGAAATTCACAGGAGATAATTGGCTTTAATGCAGGGATGGGCAACTTTGATGGGGTGGGAGCCACAAAAAAATGAATCATGAGGGGCCGCAGTGGCTCGTGGGTCTGCATAGTGCGTATCCACATCCATACCCATGCATACAGTCAGAGCCGGCCCTAGCCTTTTGGGGGCCCTAAGCAACATGTTGTTGCCCTTGTGCACCTTGTGTATTCTACTATTCTAACTCTCAACAGTAAGTTGAGACCCCAACTCAGTTCCGAAAAAAATAAGTATATACAGTGCTAAGAAAAAGTATTTGCCCCCTTTCTAATTTTCTCTACTTTTGCATATTTGTGATACTGAATGTTATCAGATCTTCAACCAAAACCTAACATTAGATAAAGGGAACATAAGTGAACAAATAACACAACAATTACATATTTATTTCATTTATTTCATAAACAAAGTTATGCAACACCCAATTTCCCTGTGTGAAAAAGTAATTGCCCCCTTACACTCAATAACTGGTTGTGCCACCTTTAGCTGCAATGACTCCAACCAAATGCGTCCTGTAGTTGTTGATCAGTCTCTCACGTCGCTGTGGAGGAATTTTGGCCCACTCTTACATGCAGAACTGCTTTATCTCAGTGACGTGTGGGTTTTCAAGCATGAACTGCTCGTTTCAAGTCCTGCCACAAGATCTCAATTGGGATTAGGTCTGGATTTTGACTAGGCCATTCCAAAACTTCCAATTTGTTGCTTTTTAGCAATTTTCATGTAGACTTGATTGTGTGTTTTGGATCATTGTCTTGCTGCATGACCCAGCTGCGCTTCAGCTTCAGCTCACAGACGGATGGTCTGACATTCTCCTGTAGAATTCTCTGATACAGAGCAGAATTCATGGTTCATTCTATTAAGGCAAGTCGTCCAGGTCCTGAGGCAGCAAAGCATCCCCAAACCATCACACCACCACCACCATGCTTGACCTTTGGTATGATGTTCTTACTGTGGAATGCAGAGTTTGGTTTTAGCCAGGCATTACTGGAACCATGTCGTCCAAAAAGTTATACTTTTGAATCATCTGTCCATAGAACGTTCTTCCAAGAGTCTTGATGATCATCCAGGTGCTTTTTGGCAAACTTGAGTCCACTTTTTGGACGAGATGGGTCCCATTATGCCTGCGAAAACCAAACACTGCATTCCACAGTAAGAACATCATACCAAAGGTCAAGCATGGTGGTGGTGGTGTGATGGTTTGGGGATGCTTTGCTGCCTCAGGACCTGGACGACTTGCCTTAATAGAAGGAACCATGAATTCTGCTTTGTATCAGAGAATTCTACAGGAGAATGTCAGACCATCCGTCTGTGAGCTGAAGCTGAAGTGCAGCTGGGTCATGCAGCAAGACAATGATCCAAAACAGACAATCAAGTCTACATGAAAATTGCTAAAAAGCAACACATTGGAAATTTGGGAATGGCCTAGTCAAAGTCCAGACCTAACCCCAATTGAGATGTTGTGGCAGGACTTGAAACGAGCAGTTCATGCTTGAAAACCCACACGTCACTGAGTTAAAGCAGTTCTGCATGGAAGAGTGGGCCAAAATTCCTCCACAGCGACGTGAGAGACTGATCAACAACTACAGGAAGCATTTGGTTGGAGTCATTGCAGCTAAAGGTGGCACAACCAGTTATTGAGTGTAAGGGGGCGATTACTTTTTCACACAGGGGAATTGGGTGTTGCATAACTTTGTTTATGAAATAAATATGTAATTGTTGTGTTATTTGTTCAGTTATGTTGCCTTTATCTAATTATAGGTTTTGGTTGAAGATCTGATAACATTCAGTATCACAAATATGCAAAAGTAGAGAAAATTAGAAAGGGGGCAAATACTTTTTCATAGCACTGTACAGTGGGGAAAAAAAGTATTTAGTCAGCCACCAATTGTGCAAGTTCTCCCACTTAAAAAGATGAGAGAGGCCTGTAATTTTCATCATAGGTACACGTCAACTACTTATTTTCCAAACTATTGAGAAACTTTTGTTATTGACCAAATACTTATTTTCCACCATAATTTGCAAATAAATTCATAAAAAATCCTACAATGTGATTTTCTGGAATTTTTTTCCTCATTTTGTCTGTCATAGTTGACGTGTATCTATGATGAAAATTACAGGCCTCTCTCATCTTTTTAAGTGGGAGAACTTGCACAATTGGTGGCTGACTAAATACTTTTTTCCCCCACTGTATATATATAATTCTTGGGGAAATGTATCCACCAGTTGCCCATCCCTGCTTTAACGTATTCATATCACACATGCCATTTTCAGCCCCTGCAGTGAATCACAATGAAACAGAAATGCCATTTTGAGAACAAGAATTTAGAGATTGCATACATTATTTCATTCATACTATATACAGTATCTCCTTTACTGTCACGCCCTGACTCAGGGGACGTTGATTTGTTGAGTCAGGGTGTGTATATTCCGTGTTATGTTGTGTTTTTCTATGTTTAGTTCTAGATCGTTTAGATCTATGTTGGCCAGGGTGGTTCCCAATCAGAGGCAGCTGTAGCTCATTGTCTCTGATTGGGGACCATACTTAGGCAGCCTGTTGGCACCAGTTAGTTTGTGGGATCTTGTTCTGTATAGGTTTGTTTGTGTAACCTTAAGACTTCACGTATCGTTTGTTTGTTGTTTTGTCATGTTCAGTACTTAAATAAACATGTACGCTTATCACGCTGCGCCTTGGTTCAACCAGTCATTAAACGATCGTGACATTTACTTGAAGAACCTTCTTATAAAGTATTATATTATAAAATGTTATATTGCCTTAGAAACATTCATATAGCTCCGTCTTATCAAATATATCAGCTGCTGCCTGTTTCTCTGGGAGCAAAAACAATTTCATTTTCTCTATACTGTATGCTTACTAGAAACTGCAAATAAAAATCAGTTTCAGGCACAGTATCCATACATCTCCACTGTGCTAAAAATCCAATCTTGTCAAGCTACTTCATAAATGTTCATCTTCTCTCTCTCACATACAGAGAGTTCTGTCCCTCTGTGTCTGCGGACTGTTACCATGGCAGCCAGCTTAACTCCTCCTCAGCTGCAGAATACGTTCTATCCATCAGGGTAAAGCCGGCCTAACCCTCACCATAGCAACCTCCCTCTCTCCCTCCTCCCTCTCTCCATCACTGGGCCAGCGCTGTGCTGATTTGGTTCTACTCTAGAGAGAAAGAGAAGCTGAAGAAACCCCACCACCATACCCCCTAAAATCACTGACAGACAGAAAAGCACTCTGCCTTTCATCCCTCTGCTGCTAACTTCACACTTCAGTGAGTAACAGTCACACAGCAGCCAGCCTACCTCTGAGCTGCGAGGTGATGTGCCTGAGCAGAAATCCAGAAACCTCAACAATACCTTGTCTAAAAAAAACAGTGTATTATTGTAGCCTTTCAACCATACACACACGGCACACACCATACACTGTTAGTTGTGAAGTGTTGCACTACTTTGTGGAGCTGTGTAAGGGGGTTGAATTCACATTCAACATCGGTTTACATTTCTGCACTGTCACTTTCGAAGAGGTGATTACTGGTGTGTTACTGCCACAGCACACCAGAACCAATTCTATTTATATGACCACTACTGGCCTCTGACTGCATTCTGAACCAGGTTGGAGCCTTTGGTTCTGGTTCCATGGATCTATAATAAACCCAGACATCGAGAACCAGATCCACCACTGGCCTTCCTTAGAATGATATGGAATTCTATGAGGATATTCAAGAAGGTTGTCTGTCTCTTTAAAAGCGAGCAGAGTGGACTTCACTCCTTCACTCCATGGCTGACAGCAGGATATAATGATAGACTAATATCTCTGGCCTATCTTAATGAAACACCACAAGGCTATGATTATTTAATAGCAGTGATAGGTACAGTTGAAGTCGGAAGATTACATACACTTAGGTTGGAGTCAATAAAACTAGTTTTTCAACCACTCCACAAAATTCCTGTTAACAAACTATAGTTTTGGCAAGTCGGTTAGGACATCTACTTTGTGCATGACACAAGTAATTCTTCCAACAATTGTTTACAGACAGATTATTTCACTTATAATTCACTGTATTACAATTCCAGTGGGTCAGAAGTTTACATACACTAAGTTGACTGTGCCTTTAAACAGCTTGGAAAATTCCAGAAAATTATGTCATGGCTTTAGAAGCTTCTGATAGGCTAATTGACATCATTTGAGTCAATTGGAGGTGTACCTGTGGATGTATTTCAAGGACTACCTTCAAACTCAGTGCCTCTTTGCTTGACATCATGGGGAAATCAAAAGAAATCAGCCAAGACCTCAGAAAAAGAATTGTAGACCTCCACAAGTCTGGTTCATCCTTGGGAGCTATTTCCAAATGCCTGATGGTACCACGTTCATCTGTACAAACAATAGTACGCGAGTATAAACACCATGGGACAACACAGCCGTCATACCGCTCAGGAAGGAGACACGTTCTGTCTCCTAGAGATGAACATACTTTGGTGCGAAAAGTGCAAATCAATCCCAGAACAACAACAAAGGACCTTGTGAAGATGCTGGAGGAAACAGGTACAAAAGTATCTATATCCACAGTAAAACAAGCCATATATCGACATAACCTGAAAGGCCGCTCAGCAAGGAAGAAGACACTGCTCCAAAACCACCATAAAAAAAGCCAGACTACGGTTTGCAACTGCACATGGGGACAAAGATCGTACTTTTTGGAGAAATGTCCTCTGGTCTGTTGAAACAAAAATAGAACTGTTTGGCCATAATGACCATCGTTATGTTTGGAGGAAAAAGGGGGTATCTTGCAAGCCGAAGAACACCATCCCAAACGTGAAGCACAGGGGTGGCAGCATCATGTTGTGGGGCTGCTTTGCTGCAGGAGGGACTGGTGCACTTCACAAAATAGATGGCATCATGAGGAAGGAAAATTATGTGGATATGTTGAAGCAACATCTCAAGACATCAGTCAGGAAGTTAAAGCTTGGTCGCAAATGGTTCTTCCAAATGGACAATGACCCCAAGCATACTTCCAAAGTTGTGGCAAAATAGCTTAAGGACAACAAAGTCAGGGTATTGGAGTGGCCATCACAAAGCCCTGACCTCAATCCTATAGAAAGATTGTGGGCAGAACTGAAAAAGCATGTGCAAGCAAGGAGGCCTACAAACCTGACTCAGTTACACCAGCTCTGTCAGGAGGAATGGGCCTAAATTCACCCAATTTATTGTGGGAAGCTTGTGGAAGGCTAACCGAAATGTTAGACCCAAGTTAAACAATTTAAAGGCAATGCTACCAAATACTTCTGACCCACTGGGAATGTGATGAAAGAAATAAAAGCTGAAATAAATCATTTTCTCTACTATTATTCAGACATTTCACATTCTTAAAATAAAGTGGTGATCCTAACTGACCTAAGACTGGGAATTTTTACTAGGATTAAATGTCAGGAATTGTGAAAAACTGAGTTTAAATGTATTTGGCTAAGGTGTATGTAAACTTCTGACTTCAACTGTATGTGTAATGTGGAGATGTGCATCACCCCCTCTACGGCTGCATGCAGGAAATTAGACCTGTCTGGACAAGTCTGACCAGATCAAACCGTTCCACTGTAAATCCAATTACAGTAGTGACCTATAACTATGGCCCAGAGTTGTTCCTGGTCAGGTTACATGGTCACAGAAAATTCAGGGTCCTAGCCATAACAATTAAGGATATCAACCATAACAAATATTATCATGGGCACTCCATAAGTGTTAGAAATATGACAGCTATTTTGGGGCTGTTATTTGGGTCGCTATCTTCTTTGTGTCACAGAGCAACACTGTTAGCAGTGTTAACTGAAATAAGTTAACACCTGTAAATGTCCAATAAAATGTATATAGTATGTATAAGCTGGAAGTAGAAGCCTAAGTGTTGTTGTCCATTAGTTTACTCCAATTAGGGGAGGGGTGGTAGGGTTAGGGGAAAATAATAAAGGAAAATATGTTAACACCTCTAGGTAATACCTCTATGTAAAACACTCTCCTTTATCTAACATGCTGACCACACCGCTCGCGTTAAATTGCAAGAGCGTTGAAAAATAAATGTACCCTTATATGTTATTCAATAATTTCATCCAAACTGCTTTCGCTCATCAACGAGCGTCTATGTTACCAGGCACTAAAGTAGAACTTAGCTCTATTTTTGACGCTTGACACACTGCAAGTCCCGCCTCTCCCATCTCCTCATTGGTTTTTAGGAGCATATACCCACATGGGTGATTGAAAGATGAACTTTGGTCCACACTCCAGTCAGGTGGTGGTGGTAATGTACCTTAAAGTTGGTTGCCAACCGCCATATAAAGTCCACAGAAGAAGAAGAAGAATTATAAGAAGACTGAAGGAGGAGAGATTACTAGAAACTAACTAGGTTTCCCCTTTTATCTGTGGATTAATTGTCGGAGTAGAGAACACACGATTTTGTGTGAAAATAGGTCAAAATTCTTCAAAGATCCAGAAAAAAAGGAACTTGTGCATTTCAGGTAAAAAAAACAACCCAATGTTTATATCCCAGGACAAATTAGCTAGCAACAGCAAGCTAGCTAACTAAATGGCCATGCATATTTCATGTGCTTTGACCTGTCCCCAAATTAATATAGCTGGTTCAGAGTTTGTTTTGATATTTCAACCTGTGTGTCCTGATCACTTCTGGTGTGGATGGACAAAAATCAACATGCGCGCGATGGTGCCAGAAGACGCATGCGCGTGCCTGGTCTAGTCAGCATGTTAGAACTGTAAGACATATCAAGACATGCTTTCATACAGTAGCCTAAATGTGATGATTGACTGAGTCCGTGCTGACAACCCCTCACTACTCACCAGTGTGTTGAAAACTATTTATGTTCTTGAATGCCACATACTTCCGTAGCGTTTTCAGTGTTGCAGGGTTAAAATTAGATGTGTTCTATGTTCCCTTGTTGCTTTGATAAAGGTGAAGATTGAGTATGTGCTGACGTGTGTTCACCATTTATCAGTGCATTAAAACCACCATGGTCCTGACAGATCTTGTGAAACACCTATCACTGCAGAAATAGACAGGTAGACAGACAGATCGTCATCTGTGCACCTTCACCCCAAAACCACGTCACCACTCACTGCAGCTAGCGCTGACCAACACAACTCACTGTTACAGCTGTCGGTCAGCAGAGAGGGAGGGAGGGAGGAAGGGAGGGAGGGGGGAGAGAGAGAGAGAGAGAGAGAGAGAGAGAGAGAGAGAGAGAGAGAGAGAGAGAGAGAGAGATACAGTAGATGCACAGACAGCCATTTAGACAAACTGACAAACCTACACCTAAATATCTAAACCAACTGGCAGTCTTACAGATAGACAGACACATGAACTAACACACCCACACAAACATACGGTATATCTGTGGTGTGTTACTTACCCACGGCCTCAGAGAGGTTGGGCAGGGACGTGAGCAGCAGCAGTGGCAGCAGCAGACAGGGGGGGTAGAGGCAGAGGCCGTACCCAGGACGAGTCGCCCTGGACTTGGCTATGGTTCCACTGGGTCTGGGGGGAACCATGGTACCTCCTGCGACTGGGGATGGATGTGGGGGATGGGGGGAAACTTCCCTCAACAGGGCTTGGGACTCTGAATAAAGAAATAAAGAAATATGTTTAAATAAATATGATGCTGAAAATATCCCTTTGAAGAACAATAAACATAGCCGATGATAATAGCAGACTAGGTCAGTTGAATGAAAAACACTTTTGAGGTCAAGCAAGCATCTGCATGTGTATACAGTAGAACAATAGAACAGAAATGAACCAGAAAATAAATAAAGAAATATCCAAAAATAAAACGAGCGTAAAAGTAAAATGAGCCCGTGGTCTAAGGCACTGCATCGCAGTGCTAGCTGTGCCACTAAAGATCCTGGTTCGAGTCCAGGCTACGTCACAGCCGGCCGCGACTGGGAGACCCATGGGGCCCAGCGCCGTCCAGGTTAGGGGAGGGTTTGGCCGGCAGGGATGTTCTTGTCCCATCGCGCACTGGCGACTCTGTGACGGGCCGGGCGCAGTGCACGCTGACACGGTCGCCAGGTGTACGGTGTTTCCTCCGACACATTGGTGTGGCTGGCTTCCGGGTTAAGCAGGCATTGTGTCAAGAAGCAGTGCGGCTCGGTTGGGTTGTGTTTCGGAGAACGCACGGCTCTCGACCTTCGCCTCTCCCGAGTCCGTACGGGAGTTGCAGCGATGGGACAAGACTGTAACTACCAATTGGATACCACGAAATTGGGGAGAAAAAAGGGGGTAAAATTGTTCTGTATGTTACTATCTCAGTACAGACATATTCAGCCTCTCCACCCACTGCTCTAATATCCTTTCTACTGTCACAGTTTTCCTCCACTGGCTACACATAAACATAAAAGGTTTACACACGTTCATAAAACCTGTGTACCCCTAATAGGGAAACATTCAGACAAAGAGGATATTAAAGCCGAAGGTGTGTTTTGCCATCCCGGCAACATGCAATATTCAATAAGAGTGTCCATTATGTTAGATGGTGAAGCCCCCATATAATAGATGTCCTGTGGTTAATCCTAGTCCAGCCATGGGGATTGGGCCTGACTCCTCTGAGCTGGGGGATTTCAGCCCTGACATGAGAGGAGAGATTCAGCCGAGCTCTGCAGAAGCTCCCTGCCCAGGAGTCAATAACTCCTCCAGTCACATCGATCCCTCCCTCATTCCTTCTCTAACTCTATCCCTCCCTCCTCCCCCAGTCTCCTTTGTTAACCTGCTTGATAGCATACACATTTTTATCCTGTTCAGAACTGATGGAACACACACAGAGAGACACAGAGAGACACAGAGAGACACAGAGAGACATACAGAGAGACATACAGAGACACACAGAGAGACACAGAGAGACACAGAGAGACACAGAGAGACACAGAGAGACACAGAGAGACACAGAGAGACAGATACACAGAGAGACAGAGACAGAAAGAGACACAGAGAGACACAGAGAGAGAGAGACACACACAGAGAGACAGAGACAGAGAGACAGAGAGAGACAGAGAGAGAGAGACACACACACAGAGAGACACAGAGACAGAAAGAGACAGAGAGAGACAGAGAGAGAGAGACACACACAGAGAGACACAGAGACAGAGACATATAGACACATACAGATGATTAGAGGAACACACACAAATACTGCACAAGTACACGCATGCGCGCGCACACCCACCCACCCACCCACACATTTCCCAAAGTTATCAACAGTTTCCCACATCCAGTGAAAGGGTTGAATGTGGTTCCCTAATACAGAGACTTCCTACCATTCTAGAGGAGAGTTCCATATTAATATGTATATGGACTTATCCAAGCTCTTATCAGACTGACAGGCTAATGACGCATTAAAAGGAATTAACGTCTAGCTCTATAACCCTGTTTGAGCTCTAAATATAACTAGTCTATAAACGTATCTGTCCATCTGACATATATTTCATGGAGCGCTACTTCCCTGCTTCCCCCTCTCTTTTATCTAGACTCCGAGAGCACTTCCTAATAGATATGGAATAGAAAAGCTTTCAGGATTTACTTTTCAATTCAATAACCTAATAGCTGCAACCTAATTAGAGCTCATTCAAGTACCATTCCAGCCAGCGCAATGAATTCTCCTCTTAAAGAAACTCAATTGATTGGCGAGCATCATCAGCATGATGCAGGGGATGATAAGGAGCAGATATATGCCTCATGTCCTCGTCCATGTGGGTCCTGTGTTGAACTGCCCGACTGGCAGAAACTGGGCTGATTCAGTACGGTAGCATGGTAAAAGGGTTATAGAAATTTCTGATGAAATAAATTCATTTTGGAATTCCTTCTTTCCCACTATGGCGAATTGGTCCTGATCTAATTCAATCTTGAGTGGTCTGTCACTCTAATCAAGCTCCTGTTCTGGTCTACCCTTCTCTCATCTCAATCCCTCGTCTCACACCTGTCTCCTCCTATATCCCCTCACTCTTCTAACTCACCACCAGTCTCCCCAGTTTCTCTGTCCCCTGTCTCCCTGTTTATCTGTCTCCCCAGTATCTGGCTCCCCAGTCTCTCTGTCTCCTGTCTCTCTGTTTCTCTGTCTCCCCAGTATCTCTGTCTCCCCAGTCTCTCTGTCTCCCCAGTATCTCTGTCTCCCCAGTCTTTCCATCTCCTTTCTCTCTGTACCCTGTCTCCCTGTCACCCTGTCCCGTCTCCCTGTCCCGTCTCCCTGTCCCGTCTCCCTGTCCCCTGTCTCTCTGTCTCCTGTCTCTCATCTCCCTGTCTCCCTGTCTCCCTGTCCCCTGTCTCTCTGCCCCCTGTCTCTCTGACCCCTGTCTCTCTGTCCCCCCGTCTCACCACATCTCATCCTCCCCAGCTCCGCCTTCCCTGTCCCCTGTCTCCCAATCCCTATGCCCCTGTCTCTCCATCTTGTAGTTAACCTGCTATCTAAACCCGTGATCCTTCCCTGTCCCCTGTCTCTCTGTCTAACCCCCCCTTCATGTGTCTCCTTCCCCCTGTCTCTTCCTCTCTCTTGTATTTAACATGCTATCTAAACCCTTGATCCTTCTCTTTCACCACATGACCTGTTCCCCAGCTGCAACAGCTGCCCGGTCGTGGTCCACTAACATAGTTAAACAAAGGGGCTTACAGTAAGTCTATCTGTGAATGGAGAAACCGTCCTAGCTACTGTACTGCAGGCCTTGCCATGACCTGTCCTAACACTTGTTAATCCTCTAAAACTCACTACCACTGCATTGACCCTGTTGGCTGGCAGACAGAATGGCAGATTTGCCTCTGTATTTTTATGCTCACCCCTGGCACATGTCCCTTAAAGGGAAACTTTGGGATTTTGGCAATGATGCGCTTTACTACTTCCCCAGAGTCAGATGAACTCGTGGATACCATTTTTATGTCTCTGCGTGTAGTTTGAAGGAAGTTGCTAACTAGCACTAGCGCAATTGCTAACTAACATTAGCGCAATGACTGGAAGTCTATCGGTATCTGCTCATGCTAGCAGATATCCACAGACTTCCAGTCATTGCGCTAACACTAGTTAGCATTGGCTTGTGAAACTACCTCTAACACAGAGACATACAAATGGTATCCACGAGTTCATCTGACTCTAGGGAAGTGGATAAAGGGCCTCATTAATATCACTTTAACGTATTCTCCAGCCAAGTATGGAGATATTACTGTACTGTACCTATACACAGCATATACTACATCAGCAGGACCATGAATCAGGGCCATGTGTGTGTCTGTGTGTGTGTGTGTGTGTGTGTGTGTGTGTATGTATGTGTCCTTACCTCTGGGTGTTCTCTACAGCCCTGGCTGAGGCATCATGGCCTGCTCTGTGGAATCCTCAGTGTGACCATCCAGTGGACCTGCAACAACACAGAAAGGAGGAGATGAGTTAACACAACCTGAGGGTATGTGTGACCTCATAACGACACACACACACACAGAAAGACAGAGAGACACATACAGCCTTTCTGTGAGCCCCACCCTGTTCAAGGTTAAGTTATCTTCAGTTTGCCAGACACGGAGCATACCTCATGAGGAATCTAAGAGCAAATGAAGGGCAATTCATAGTAATGTCTCTATTATGATCCTAAGCATCAACACATTGAACTGAAAATATCACTTTCCTGTTCCACTGTTTGGTTTTTATCACCTTACCCTCCCCTGTACCCCACCCCTCCCTCTTACCCATCATGCCTTGCACCACAGTCGGGCTGAGGCAGTCTCTACGGGCCATGTCTCCATGACAACAAAGCAGCCAGTGAGACGTGAGATCACAGGCAGGATCTGTTTCCTTGGGTAGGTGTACGGCCAAGCAGTAGCTGGGAGATAGCTAGCTACAGCAGTTAGTAGCTACAGAAGAGCAACCAGGAGGAGTGTCTTTAGACCAATACAGGTGAACAGATGGCTGAGGAGTGTCTTTAGACCAATACAGGTGAACAGATGGCTGAGGAGTGTCTTTAGACCAATACAAGTGAACAGATGGCTGAGGAGTGTCTTTAGACCAATACAGGTGAACAGATGGCTGACAAGTGTCTTTAGACCAATACAGGTGAACAGATGGCTGAGTAGACCAATACAGGTGAACAGATGGCTGAGGAGTGTCTTTAGACCAATACAGGTGAACAGATGGCTGAGGATTGTCTTTAGACCAATACAGGTGAACAGATGGCTGAGGAGTGTCTTTAGACCAATACAGGTGAACAGACGGCTGAGGAGTGTCTTTAGACCAATACAGGTGAACAGATGGCTGAGTAGACCAATACAGGTGAACAGATGGCTGAGGAGTGTCTTTAGACCAATACAGGTGAACAGATGGCTGAGGAGTGTCTTTAGACCAGTACAGGTGAACAGACGGCCGAGGAGTGTCTTTAGACCAGTACAGGTGAACAGATGGCTGAGGAGTGTCTTTAGACCAATACAAGTGAACAGATGGCTGAGGAGTGTCTTTAGACCAATACAGGTGAACAGATGGCTGAGGAGTGTCTTTAGACCAATACAGGTGAACAGATGGCTGAGGAGTGTCTTTAGACCA